AACACGGCAGGGCTGTCCACTGTCACCACTGCTATTCAACATAGTACTATGAGTCTTAGCCTCAGCAATCACACAACAAAAATAAATAAAAGGCATCCAAATCAGCAAAGAAGAAGTCACTCACTCTTTGTAGATGATATACTTTAGGTGGAAAACCCAAAGACTCCACTCCAAAACTTCTAGAACTCATACAGGAATTCAGTCAAGTGGCAGGATATAAAAATGCACAGAAATCAGTTGCAATGTTTTTTTTAATTTCTTTTCAGCGTAACAGTATTGTTTTTGCACCACACCCAGTGCTCCATGCAATACGTTCCCTCCTTAATACCCACCACCTGGCTCCCCCAACTTCCCACCCCCCACCCCTTCAAAACCCTCAGGTTGTTTTTCAGAGTCCATAGTCTCTCATGGTTCACCTCCCCTTCCAATTTCCCTCAACTCCCTTCTCTCCATATCCACATGTCCTCCACGTTATTTGTTATGCTCCACAAATAAGTGAAACCATTTGATAATTGACTCTGCTTGACTTATTTTACTCAGCATAATCTCTTCCAGTCCCGTCCATGTTGCTACAAAAGTTGCATTTCTATACACCAACAGCAAGACAGAAGAAAGAAATTAAGGAGTCGATCCCACTTACAATTGCACCCAAAATCATAAGATAATTAGGAATAAATCTAACCAAAGAGGCAAAGAATCTGTACTCAGAAAACTATAGAGGGAAATACAATCAAAACCATAGTAGGATACCACCTCACACCAGTCAGAATGGCTAAAATTAACTAGTCAGGAAATGACAGATGTTGGCGAGGATGCGGAGAAAGGCGAACCCTCCTACACTGTTGGTGGGAATGCAAGCTGGTGCAAACACTCTAGACAACAGTATGGAGGTTCCTCAAAAAGTTGAAAATAAATAGAGCTACCCCATGACCCACCAATCGCACTATTGGGTATTTACCCCAAAGATACAAATGTAGTGATCTGAAGGGATACCTGTACCCCAATGTTCATAGCAGCAATGTCCACAATAGCCAAACTATGGGAAGAGCCTAGATGTCCATCAACAGATGAATGATGGTATATATAACAGAATGGAACACTATGCAGCCATCAAAAGCCTGAAATCTTGCCATTTGCAACAACATGGTTGGAACTAGAGGGTATTATGCTATACAAAATAAGTCAGAGAAAGACAATTATCATATGATCTCATTGAATTTGAGAAACAAGACAGAGGATCACAGGGGAAGAGAGGGAAAAATGAAACAAGATGAAACCAGAGAGGGGGACAAACCATAAGAGACTCTTAATCTCAGGAAACAAACTAAAGGTTGTAGGAGGAGAGGGGGGTGGGAGGGATGGGGTGGCTGGGTGATGGACATTGGGGAGGGTACCTGCTATGGTGGGTGCTGTGAATTGTGTAAGACTGATGAATCACAGACCTGTTCCCCTGAAACAAATACATTATGTGTTAATAAAAATTAAATTTTAAAAAGCTATTTCATGGTCAAAAAAAAAAAAAAGGAAACTATAGAATACTCATGAAAGAAACAGAGGAAGACACAAAGAAATGGAAAAACATTCCATGCTCATGGATTGGAAGAACAAATATTGTTAAAATGTCCATGCTACCTAGAGCAATCTACACATTTAATTCAATCCCTATCAAAATACCATCAACGTTTTAAAAAGAAATTGAACAAATAATCACAAAATTTGTATGGAACCAGAAGAGAACCTGAATAGCCAGAGAAATGTTGAAAAAGAAAACCAAAGCTTGTGGCATCACAATTCTGGACTTCAAGCTCTATTACAAAGCTGTCATCACCAAGACAGTATGGTACTGGCACAAAAACAGACACATAGATCAATGCAACAGAACAGAGAGCCCAGAAATGGACCCTGAACTCTATGGTCAACTAATCTTCAACAAAGCAGGAAAGAATATTCAATGGAAAAAAGACGGTCTCTTCAACAAATGGTGTTGGGAAAGTTGGACGGCCACATGCAAAAGAATGAAACTGGACTATTTCCTTACACCACACACAGAAATAGACTCAAAATGTATGAAAGACCTCAATGTGAGACAGGAATCCATCAAAATCGTTGATGAGAACACAGGCAGCAACCTCTTGGACCTCAGCCGCAGCAACTTCTTCCTAGAAACATTGCCAAAGGCAAGGGAAGGAAGGGCAAAAATGAACTAGTGGGACTTCATCAAGATCAAAAGCTTTTGCACAGCAAAGGAAACAGTTAACAAAACCAAAAGACAACAGAGTGGGAGAAGATATTTACAAATGACATATTAAAGGGCTAGTATCCAAAATCCATAAAGAACTTATCAAACTTACACCTGAAGAACACATAATCCAATCAAGAAATGGGAAGAAGACATCAACAGCCATTTTTCCAAAGAAGATATATACAAATGGCCAATAGGCACACGAAGAAATGCTCAACATCACCTGGCATCAGGGAAATACAAATAAAAACCACCGTGAGATTACCACCTCACACCAGTCAGAATGGTTAAAATTAACCAGTCAGGAACCAACAGATGTTGGCAAGGATGCAGAGAAAGGGGAACCCTCCTACACTGTTGGTGGGAAGGCAAGCTGGTGCAACCACTCTAGAAAACAGTATGGAGGTTCCTCAAAAAGTTGAAAGTAGAAGTACCCTATGACCCAGCAATCACATTACTGGGTGTTTACCCCAAAGATATAAACGTAGTGATCCGAAGGGGCACGTGCACCCCAATGTTTATAGCAACAATGTCCACAACAGCCAAACTATGGAAAGAGCTTAGATGTCCATCCACAGATAAATGGAGAAAACAGATTTGGTATATATATAGAATGGAACACTGTGCAGCCATCAAAAAGCCTGAAATATTGTCATTTGCAATGATGTAGTTGGAACTAGAGGGTATTATGCTGAGTGAAATTAAGTCAATTAGAGAAAAACAATTATCATATGATCTCACTGATATGAGGAATTTGAGAAACAAGACAGAGGATCATAGGGGAAGGGAGGGAAAAATGAAACAAGACGAAACCAGAGAGGGAGACAAACCATAAGAGACTCAATATTAGGAAACAAAATCAGGGGTGCTGGAGTGGAGGGAGTACTGTGAGGGATGGGGAGCTGGGTGGTGGACACTGGGTAGGGTACCTGCTATGGTGAGTGCTGTGAATTGTGTAAGACTGAGGACTCACAGACCTGTCCCCCTGAAACAAATACTACATTATATATTAATTAAAAAAAAAAGATATAAGTCAGCCAAGAGAAAAGGAGTGGCACCATCAGGGTCCAGAGCCTGCAGAAAGGCCCCATTCAGTCCCGGGGACTGGGGAAGGAGGGTGACCGGGTTCAGTGGCAGCCCTGTGTAGCACTGATGGTCTTGGAACAAAATGGCAGGAATGGAGCACATTTGTTTGTGTATGCGGCCTTCAGGCATTCTACACCACACAAATGTGAATGTCTGCATAAGGGTTAGTGGGGGGTTGCCAGCAAACTCCCCCTTTAATCCCTGAGAGTGATCTGCCCTGGGAAAAACAGGGTAATGGGACTGGGCATGGTGGCGGCTGGCTGGGTGCCCTCCTTAAGACTTCCTCAACCCAGACTGTTCAGAGTTGGCCTGTGAGGCTCTGAATACCCATCTCAACCCCACTGCAACTGTAGACCAAATTCCAGCCCACCATGGCTCCTGGCTGAAGGGTGTTGTCCCACTCTGTTGTCCTCCTCTCTACCCTAGACCCTCTGGGCACACTGGAAGCCTTGCCCATCCCCAGGGCCCCACATCCCTGTATGCAGGACCTGAGTGTCTGGTGGTCCACTGCTCAGGGCATTTGCACTTCCATGGGAGTTTTGTGGTCTCCCTGGTCCACACCCAGGAGCCCAGTTATCAGTCCTGTCTGCCTCCATGTTCCCCTCCCACGATTTGGTCTAGCTACGCCACCCATGGCCCTTCTCAGACACCTCAGGCAGGGTATTTGTACCATGTCCCTTGGGCCTTACCACCTTCATGGGCTCCAGTGGCTGGTGTCAATGTCTCTTGGCTCAGGACTCACACTGCAGCCATACTTTCTTCTGTAGGGCAGACAAGAAGTGCTCAGGAGTTCCCATCAGCCCCAGCGCTAGCAGCTCCCCAGGGTGACAGGGTGGTGCATAAGCAGCTCACCTCCCTCCCCCTGGCTCAGAGATCTCTGATATGTGTACTCACGGATTCCCAGGAGGCCTCGAGGAACTAGGCTCCCCTCTCCCCTAAGAGAGTCAACAACACAGCCTCTACTGGTTGCCTTCCCTTCCCCATCTTACTTCCCCACCCCACTGGTGTTTTCCAGAATCACCTCCTGAATAAATCTCAGGGGCTACTCCTGGGGAACCACTCCATGATGAAGGCGGCCATGACCTCCTCCCTGAAGCCTGCCTGACAGCCTGCCTCTTCCTCCCAGCCTTCCTCAGACGGTGCCTGCCTCCCCTTCTCTGGCTCTGGAGCCTCCAGCTCTCATCAAGCAGCAGGGGAAGACAACATGCTCAGTGTCCTCTCCTCCGGTTCTCTCTGCTTCTGTGGGACTTACCTCTCATGCCGGGAGCCAAGGAGTCATTCATTCACCCTTCCTCGTAATCCCTAGGAAATCAACCTGTCTTCCAGCAGCCTAACCTGGGACCTGAAGCTGTCACTGACCTGTTCCCACTTGCGCCAGAGCCAACATGGCCTGGGTCAGTTTGATCCCATGGAAAGGTCAGAAAGTTCATTCAAAATCAGCAAAAATAAAATTTAATGGTGAGCCGCAGGTGTGGCAGTCTGTCCTTCCTTGGGAGTGACCGCCGGTCATCTTGAGGGAAAGCACACCGTTCCTTCTTCCTGCAGAGGGGCTCCGGAAGGACCCCTGATGGCTGGCCACCTTGGCTGGGCTGCTGCAGCCCCTGGGAGGGTGCTGCTTCCGAAGAGGGGAGGTGTGCAGAGGGCAAGAACCCCCTGCCCCCCGGGAGAACTTTCCACAGGCCACCTGGTTTCCTTCTTGCAGCCGCAGCTGGCGCTGACTCTAGGACAGCGAGGGGGCTTCTTCAGTCCTGCAGCTGCCCTAAGATACCTTCTGGGGAACACAGCCCTCCAGCTCCAGCAGCTCCGGCCAGCCCTCGTATTTGTTTGTGTCTGGGCTGTTCTTTAAGAACTAGAGAGAGAGAGAAGAGAAACGTGGACCATGGGGGAGGCTGTTCAAGATTCACACCTGAGTTTTCACTGCGCTTTAAGACATCCTGCCTTCACTCATTTCACCCTGGTTTCAGCCCCAAGGGGAGGTGGTGGGGTCGGATAGGACCAGCCCATTTCACAGGTGGGGAAACTGGGGCACAGAGGGACGGCAACATGCCCAAGGTTTTACAGAGGAGGTCAGAGCTCAGTCCTTGCCGGTTGTGCCCTGGGGAGGGGGGGACCAAGCACTGGGGGCAGGCAGGCAGAGTGTTAGCTCCTCTGCCAAATTCTCCATCAGCCTCTCTAGGACACCCCCAAACCACCACCACAACAATGAAAAGAGCACTTGCTCTATGCCAGGTGCAAAGTGCCTTATGTATTTATTCCTTACAAGAGCCCTAAGAAGGCCCATACCATGACCATTCCATTCTGCAGATAGGGAACCTGAGGCACAGAGGGCCAAAGTTACCCCAGGGGCAGAACCACTGTGTAATATTAGTATTAATAATAAATATAGAGAGAATAAAATCAGTTAAGATTGTGTTTAAAGTGCCTATGCTTAGTTTTTGGAGGAAAAAAAATGTAAATAGCAAAACCTACCAGTGGAATAATTGTAGCTAACCCTTAGGGATAAAAGAAATTCTAGATGCTGCATCTCTAAAACCCAGAGCCCCATGTATGGGAACAAAGGACCTAATGTTTTCCATCACATCGTGGTCCCCACTGCCCTCCGGGTGATGGGTCTATCCTCTCTCCTCCACCCCTCCCCCATCCCCACCCCTACCTGTGTTCTTCACCAGAGGCTATAACCAGAGGGCTCCCTCCTTGTCTCCTCCAGCATAAGCTACTTTGTATTATCATTTTTAAAAAGTAATTTCCAACGACCTGAGTTCATTCTCTTAGAAACTCACACAGACTAACCAGGCCAGCATCTTCCAGACAAGGCAAAATCCCTTGCAGCCCATCACGGTTCCCCCACCCGGGAGTCTTGATGCAGTCCCTCTCCAGCCTCCCTCAGCCCCTCCCCTGCAGGCTGCTGTGCCTCTGGTCTGACTACTGCCTGGGCCTCCTCCCTGCCTTCTCTCCCTGTGCTCAGCCAGAGAGGCTGTGCTGAGAACATGGGGATGGGAACCTCCATGGAGGCCGGCAAACCTGGATGAGAGCTATATCCGCGTCAGGTCCAGACAAGCTGGCTAAAACCTCTGCTCTGCTCGGACCCTCAAGTTGGCAGCGGCGGGGTGGGAGGAGACCTGTATCTGCTTCGTTGTGGAATTAAAGGCGGCGCTGCAGGTACCTTGCTCAGCCAGAGGCTGCACAGAGTCAGTGGGGGCTGAATACTAGTGTTTCTCATGTCTCCAAACGCTCTTCTCTGCTTAAGCCCTCCATGGCTCCCCACTGCCTTCAGGATAGCGTCCAGTCTCCTCAGTAGTCCTATGATTTATCTGAATCATCGACTCTTAGCTGCCTGCCTTGGGATCTGGGCAGAGCTGAACATTCTCACCACCAGACTGCAGGCTACCTCAGGCCCCTGAAGATCTGGCTAGTTCTCCCACATTTGGGAATTGCTCTGATTTGGGATACGCAGATGGGGGACAGGGAGAGAAGGTGCAGCATTTCCCTGGAGGCTCCCACCCCTTCATGGACTCCCCTTTCCTCCCCTGAGCACCCCTGAGACTCCAGACTCTGCTTGGGGCCTGGGTGGTAGCTGTGGGGCCATAAGTCACAGACCACGCCTGACCCCTCCCGTGGACTCAGGCAGGTTCTCCTGTGTCCTCCTTTTTAAAAAGATATTACTCACTTATTTGACAGAGAGAACAGAGACAAGAGAGGGAATATAAGCAGGGGGAGTGGGAGAGGGAGAAGCAGGCTCCCGCTGAGCAGGGAGCCCATTTGCGGGGCTTGATCCCAGGACCCTGGGATCATGACCTGAGCCGAAGGCAGATGCCCAAAGAGTGAGCCCCCCAGGTTCTCCCTCTGTCCTCCTCTTGATGTAAATTTATCCTCTCTACAGGGAGCTTAGAAGGGGACAGCTTCCCTGGTCTAAACCTCTCCCCTCTGGTGGGGAGGCCTGAGGCCTGGGGCAGGGGAGTAGAGAGACAGAAGGGGCTGGGCTTAGGTTTCCACTGGGACCAGAAGCCAGATGTCCTGCCCCCTGCTCTGCCCATCATGCAGGCTTCATCCCTACATTCCTTTCTCTTTTTCCCATTCCTCACTTCCCTCATACTTCTTTTCTCCTTTTCCTTCTCCTTTCTAGTACTTACCCATTTACAGATGACCCAGCTCCTTGCAAAACGGTCAAGTCCACTTTCTGCTAGGGGATTAGCCAGTCGGGCCACCCTGACCTCTGAGGTCCCCACAGTGTCCTCCCCAGCCACCCCAGCCCTTGTCCATCCATCCTTGGCACCTTACCCCCACCTGCCTCACTGGGATGAAGAGGCCACCAGGAACTCACCTGCTCAAAAGGGCTTTTATCCCTGAGGTCTCTGGCCCCTAAGAAGACCCAGCTATCTCTGAAGCCCAGATGCTTTGCATAGGAACTGCCCAAGTTGGTGAGGAGCTTCCTGGCCTCACCATTCATTCTGCAGAGGACCAGAAAGGACAGTGAGGTGGAGGGGTGGGAGAAGAGGCAGGTTCTCAAGCACTTGGCCTCCCCTCTGCCCGCTGGGTGCAGCCGCCATGCTGGGCAGAGCTGCATTCAGGGGGATTAGGGCTGAGTGGCTATGAGTATGGTTTTGCATCTGTTTACAAATACACATGTTTATCTGGAAAATATGGACCATCACAGAGGAACTAAAAATTACAGTCTCACCCCACTTGACATAATCATTATAATACTTTCATGTATATTTCCTTAATGTCTTTTTTCCCCCATGCCCTGGGAGGGTCATACCAATGCATTTATAATCTGTTTTTTTTCCCCAATTAATACTAAAGGGTGAGCATTGTTCCACATCCTTAAATTTTCTACTTCATCATTTTTGATGAGGGTCCTCTTCTATGCACATATAATGTCATATCAACATGTGTCATAATTTCTGTAACAACTTGGTCTCTAATGGACACAGCCAGTGCATCCAGTTTTCCAATGCTGTAACTGAGGCTGTGATGGGGAACACGTCTTTGTGCACTGGTCTGGTTATTTCCCTAGGAGAAGATGCCAGAAGACAGAGCCAGAGGAGGAGTGGGGAAAAGGCACTTAGGACTTGGAAGCATTTGGGTCACTTCAACCCATAGCTGGTCAGGTGGAGGCTCCCACTTACTTGGTTCCTGGGTCATCATAGGAGGCCACTAGCACCAGTGTGCCCTCTGGGATTTCTTTAAGGAACTTTACCAGAAGCGTAACATCTGCAGGAGAAAGGAAAGTGGGGTGCTGGTCATTCTCATTCTCTGCTCCTGCCCGGAAGATCCACAAATGGCCAGGGGCAGGATGACACAGAGCTCCATCTGAAGCTCAGGGCCAGTGGGAGGGGACCTTGGGTGAAGCTCCCTGTAGCCCTTGCCCAGGGGAGAGCAAAGTGCCTGGAGCAAGGGCAGCCTCATTCAGGTGATCAGGGGTGGACCCTGGAATTCAAAAATTCCACAGGCGATCCTGACCAGCAGCCAGGCGTGAGAGGCACTGTTCTAAAGGCCCTTGGGGACCTGTACCTAAGGAATGGAGTGCAGTCATCTCTCAGGAACTCTGAGCTTTCTGTATACCCCCTGCCACTTCCTTCTACACTGGTTAAGAACCTAACTTGTCTGTGCTGAATTCAGAGGACAAATAAACTCACTGTACCACAGACAACTCAGGTCACTGAGACAGAACATCTGTGTCCTCCAGTTCTCCAGCTTAGACCAAGCAGCAAGCCTCCTTTTGCATCTTTAATACCTCCCTGCACTTGCAAAATCTCTGCACTTACCAGAGAGCAGGCCTAGGGGCAGCACCTGGTGGGGAGGGGGGCATTGGCACCCAGCTTGCTTCCAGGACATGGATTTGTTTCCATTGTACTTATTTTTTTTTTTTTAAAGATTTTTTTTTTTTATTCATTTGACAGATCACAAGTAGGCAGAGAGGCAGGCAGAGAGGCAGGCAGAGAGGCAGGCAGAGAGAGACAGGAGGAGGCAGGCTTCCCGCTGAGCAGAGAGCCCGATGTGGGACTCAATCCCAGGACCCTGAGATCATGACCTGAGCCGAAGGCAGAGGCTTTAACCACTGAGCCACCCAGGCGCCCCAATTGTGCTTATTTTTATAGTCACCTTTCCTGCATAAAAACTGGTAACTTAGGGCAGGGATAGATATATAAATATAAATGTAAATATATCTTTTAAGATATATTTAGGTTAAAAGAAGTGAACTGATTCAAAAGAAAATACTAGTAATTCAGATAGTACTCTGGATATGGTGGGATTTATGTGTGTGTGGGGCTCTTGAACAGGAAGCCCATACATGAGGAAGTACAGGCAAGATTTGCCTAGTGGGAGAAGTAGGGGCTACATCTGTCACATGAGGATGATTCCTAGTCCCACCCACAGCATTTTTGTAAACAGCAAATGGGATGATGACTCTGGGCATATAGAAAATGTACTATAATGGAATTGCAATTATCAGCAGGATCAGCAACATAATTTTGGGGGCCCAGTGCCAATCAAAATTGGATCATTTTGTTAAATTAAGAATTTCAAGGCGGTGAAGGCAGAGCTTCAGACCAAACCTAAGTCTGCTCTAAGCAAAGGGCTGCACAGCTGCCCTACCCACAGGCCCATGCCCATGAAGGCGAGCCAGTTCTTAGTATTCCCCCAGGATCCCTTGGACTTAGGGGAAGAAACAAATTCTGAAAGCAAGGCCAGCTGCCAGCTAGCTCAGTAACACAGAGGCTTGTAGTCCATGACCACAGCGGCTCTGTTAGTGAAATGGCCCTTGATATCTTGAGACAAAAGAGGGAACTCTGAAAATCTGTTGGAGCCATTAGTTCCAGATATCAAGATCTGTTATTGTCTGGGATGGACAGTAATGTTTAGGGAAAAAAAAAAAAGTTCCTTCTGTTAATTATCCTCTCACTTGAAGAAGTCATTGACTTCTTTTATCTCTTGTGGGAAGGGGCAACTTGTCCTCAAATGCTTCTGTTTCTGGGTCCCCATCAGCCATGGTTACATCCTTATATCCACATTCATAATAGAGCAATATAAAGTTTAGTTTCTTTTAAATCATTTTTTACTCTTTTTGACAACCTATAGAATGGGAGAAGATATTTGCAAGTGTCTTACCAGATAAAGGGCAAGCATCCAAAATCTATAAAGAACTTATCAAACTCAACACCCAAAGAACACACAATCCAATCAAGAAATGGGCAGAAGATGCAAACAGACATTTCTGCAAAGAAGACATCCAAATGACCAAGAGACACATGAAAAAAATGCTCCACATCACTTGGCAACAGGGAAATACAAATCAAAACCCCAGTGAGATACCACCTCACACCGGTCAGAATGGCTAAAATTAACAACTCAGGAACCAACAGGTGTTGGAAAGAATAGGAAAAAGGGGAACCCTCTTACACTGTTGGTGGAAATGCAAGCTGGTGCCGACACTCTAGAAAACAGTATGGAGATTCCTCAAAAAGTTGAAAATAGAGCTACCCTAAAACCCAGCAATTGCACTACTGGTATTTACCCCAAAGATACAGATGTAGTGAAGGGGCACGTGCACCCCAATGTTCATAGCAGCAATGTCCACAGTAGCTAAATTTTGGAAAAAGCCCAGATGTCCACTGATGAATAGATAAAGATGATACGGTGTGTGTGTATATGTGTGTGTACATATAACAGTGGAATACTACTCAGCCATCAAAAAATGAAATCTTGGGGCACCTAGGTGGCTCAGTGGGTTAAGCCTCTGCCTTCGGCTCAGGTCATGATCTCAGGGTCCTGGGATCGAGTCCCGCATCGGGCTCTCTGCTCAGCAGGGAGCCTGCTTCCTCCCTGCTCAGCCTACTTATGATCCCTGTCTGTCAAATAAATAAATAAATAAAATCTTTAAAAGAAATGAAATCTTGCCATTTGCAATGATGTGAATGGAACTAGAGGGTATTCTTCTAACTGAAATAAGTCAGAGAACGACAACTATCATATGATCTCACTCATACGTGGAATATAAGAAACAAAACAGAATCGTAGGGGAAGGGAGGAGAAAATAAAATGATGAAATCAGAGAGGAAGACAAATCATAAGAGACTCTTAACTGTAGGAAACAAACTGAGCGCTGCTGGAGGGGAGGTGGATGGGAGGATGGGGTAACTGAACTGGGTGGTTGGGCATTAGGGAGGGCTCATGGTGTAATGAACACTGGGTGTTATATAAGACTGATAATCACTGAACACTACCTCTGAAACTACTAACACACTAGATGTTAATTGAATTTAAATAAAAATAAATTATTTTTTACCCTTTTCATTCTGACAATGACCTTACTTCTGAGTCATGTGGATGGAGGGCAGGGAGGGAAGGAGGCTGTATGCACTCCAGGCCCCTCCCACTGATTGGTGTCAGTTCCCACCCAAGCTCCTTGATCCGTCTCCTGAAGGGACATTGTGATTTACCTCTATTTTACATATGACAAAACTGAAGTTCACAAGGGGTCACCTGCCTCAGTCTGAAGTCTTTGATTCCAGAGACTGGATCTTTTCCATAAACCTGGCCCTGAGCCACCCCTGACCCACCATTTCCTCACCCATCTCCAGGTCTGTCCTGCCCATCCAAGCTCTGTCCTCCCACTCCCTTCTAGCCCCTGCCAGGCCCTGGCCATGCCTTGGTCCCACTCTGCAGCTTCTGCCATAGTGGGGCATGCCTGGAAGAAGCCTGCATGGGCCCTAAGGCAGGCTGTCAGCTAGCACAAGCTCAGGCCCTGCAGACCCTACCCGTGAGCTGGAACTCAGCCGGGGGATGACGTTCAGGGGACCCAGAGGACCAGGGGTCAGGGCGCCAGCTGCTGTCTCCATGTGTGGTGCAATGGATCCCCTTCCCAATATTCCCCGCTGCTGACTGCTGGGCACCTGATTCCCACGGCCCACCTTTCAGCCCCTCCTTTATTTGCAAAGCCAAGAGGGCTTCTTGCTTTCTTGCTGCCTGGCTTTGTCCTCTCTGGGGCTCGTGTGTTTAGGTGGGTACAGGAAGGTAGTGATGCCTGAGCCCAGAGCCGGCCCTGAATTCCCAGGCACAGGGGAGGGAGACCGAGCCGAACTGAACTCTGAGAAGGGGGCTGGGCTCAGTTCAGCTGTCCTGATGGAAACCCATCATTGCTGGACCAAGACGTCTGCTGCCTACGAGGGGCCACCCTGCTGCTGCCTCACTCCTTGTTGAGGGTCTCTGGTCAGAGGGAGGGGCGTGTGCTGCCAGCTGGGCAGTGGATGGCCTCTTGGGTTTGGGATGGATTCCACGGTGTTTTAGAAGATGTCAGGATTGTTGGGTGAGATTCCTGCCCCCAGCACAGCTTGACCAGGCAGCCTGGAGGTGAGGAAGCTGCTGGTGGGAACAGACAGCCCAAGAAGGTCAGGGTCCTGTCCGCAGGCTGTGCTAAGGGTTGGGAGGACAGTGGGGTGGTCACCTGTCCAGAGAGCTCAGAAAGCACGCCTGTGCAGACAGAGAAGAAAAGATGTCTGCAGCAACATGCAGAGAGCTTGGAGCCTCTAAGTGATCTTTTCCGGGCCTTGGGAGGACTTGTTCTGTCCTTGGGCCCAAGAGAGATCCCTGTGGCCTTAAAAAAAAAATACCTTTACCTAGCAGAGCAAACTGGGCTGTGTGTCTTTATTCTTAGCACTTGAGTGCACACCTGCTTGGCCTCCAACTGCCAACACCAGTGTTTCTTTGCCTCAAGGTCCTCTCTGACCTCCAGATCTTCCTCTATGTCCTGGTGCAGGCCAGAAATGTGGAAAGTGCCAACGAATTAGGGGAATTACAGCCCCAGTTCCCTTGCCTCTCTGAGGTTTCTCTGAGGCATGTACTTGACAGTGGCTCTTGAGTTCCAATTGCCTGCAGTGTTCAGCCTGGTAACACACTGTTCTAGCTGTCTCCCCCTTCTCTCTATCACTTCCTGCTGGCATTTCCTGAGATCACCCCCTCCCAAATGAACTATTGCACTTGACTCCTGGTCTTGGGATCTGCACCCAGGAGAGCCCAACTAAGACAGCAGGAAGAAGTTTCAAAGACAGCAGGATGGTCCTCCACCCCTACCATGCTTTCTCTCTGGTCGTCTCCTCGGGAGAAGAGAGCCGAGGAGTTCAGCCCACCCTGAGACCTCAGTGCCAATAGAGGTGCTTACCTCCAGAGTACATGTCGAAACATTTTTGTGTCAGCACCACTCCTGTGGTTCCTGCAGATGAGAGAGCAAAATTGTGATTTCCTGAAATAGATCATCCTGCCTATCGTTTTGCAGAAAATGGCTACTCTTTAGTCTAAGATCTAAAAATGGAATAATAATGGAGTCAAGTCAGCTCCTACAGAAAGCATGCAGGACTGAGTAGGGGCCCAGGAACTTCTGGGCTAATGAGAGGTACAAGGACATGATGGTGAAGGATCGCTGGAATCGGACAGTATCCAACACCTTTGGGGCTGTGTTCTGCCTTGGCACTTCCTAACGCACCTCTTAGTATTTGGGCGTCAACTGCTGCATCTGAACAATGGGTTATGGGATCTACGGGATTTAAACTAGGTAGTAAACATAGAAGACAAATTTTAGCTGGAAAACAGTAGTAAAAATAACTACAATCGTTATCATTAATTCTTCCTAAATAGGACACCTCAATCCTCTGGTTTATGAAGGCAAAGGGTTTTGCAGTGGGCTGAATGTAGTCAAAATCCAGAGCCGGGTCGTCTGAACTGCTTTTGTGTATTTTGTGAAAGAAATCCTACAGGGAACCAGGTGTTTAGGGGGAGTCGCAGTTCTCAATTTCTGCCACTAGATGGGGGTGTTACAGAGGGGATGGCAGCTCTACAGGTTGACCACGGTACCCTTCCCCCCAGGCCAGTTTGTGGATCCCTGAAGAGGGTGGGGACAGGGACCTGGGTAGTGGAGGCTCTCCTGCTGGGTCGGTGGAGGGTTTACACCACAGCCCTTCCTGGGTTCTCAAAGCCAACACTATACGGTCATTGGAAGGGAGCGGTCGATGTACACATGAAACTGATCATGTTCATTTGTGCATTTTTCTAGAATTAGGGGGATGAGGTATAACGGTTTCTTAAAAGAATCTCTGCCCCCTAAAAGACTGAGAACCACCAATCTTCAGCAATCCTTGTGGGCTTATTATACAGATGAGAACCTAAGGCCCTGAGAGTGATCCACTGGCCGTCTCCACAGCTAGCAGGCACTTCCAGAAGTTTTTAGTCTAGGGAAGTTAGTTCAGCTGAACAATTTGACCTGAGTCCTTCAGATCCGGTTCAAATCTAGAGGATTCTATTGGCTGTGTAATCTTGGGCAAGTTGCCCAACCTCTCTGAGCCTCCATTTTCTTACCTAGAACATAGGCATACAACTCCACTGTAGCATGGGGAGGAGGCTGAATGAAACAGCTCACAGCAAAGGCTCAGTAAGTGTCAGCTCTTGGTGCTACCGAAGCTTGTTTTTGTCTTTGCGATTAATGAGGGGAAGAGCAGGAGGCCCTAGCCTGCGGCTGTCTCATGGGAGACTATTCGAAGAGTGTCCTACTAAGAAGTATGGGCTTGAAGAAAAGGACAATAGGAAGCCCCAGATAGGCTTGGAGCAGGGCGTGCCTTCTGACCTCCTGCTTTGGGTAAGGCTCCATTTTTGCCCCAGGCTTTGACCTTTCTCCCGACTCAGCAGGATTCTTGGCAGAAGGGAGATGGCTCCTGTAGAAGCAACCAATCCAAACCCTGTTACTTCCTAAGTGTGTTCACATGGTCATGCCACACACAAGCTTGACCTCCTCCTTTCTGAGCGTCTGCTGTGCCCTTTGTCCCGAAGTGGCTCTTAGATTCAGGGAATTGGCCTTTGCTCTCCATCTCATCTGTGCCTCTCCAAGGGCAGAGCATGTGGTCCTTACTCTGTCCCTGTAAACCCACCCCTCCTGAAATGTGTCCCTGTTTCAGGCTTGGCCTGCCTTTGCTCCCTGTGAGAGATGCAGGGTAGTGAGGCTGTGGGCCATCCCCCCACATCTCCCTGCCTCCAGCCTCCCTACTCCAAGCTGGAAGGAAGTTTCTGGAATGCAGGGCTGGGCCCTCATGCCCTGCTCCAAGCCTATCTGAGGCTCCTTGTTGTCCTCTGCGTTAAGCCCACACTTCTTAGCAGAACACTTAGCCCCTCACTCTGTCATCCTGCCTGCCCCCTGCCCCACATGTACCTGTCATCCCTCCTTTTCTGATGTGTCCAGAGAGACCCCATGTGGCCCCCAATCCCTCTACCCACTCCTTCCTTCTCTGCTCCCTGCACAGTTCTGCCCCAGCCTTGAAGGAGTCTCCCCTACATTTTTCTGGCCAACCCATACTATTCCTTTAGGCCTCAGCTGACCAGCACTTCCCTTTGGAAGCCTCCCCTGATGACCCCCAACCCCACTCTGTGTCCCAGTTCTCAGGGCTGTGCTTCCTTCTCCTTCACAGATGCTCACCCCACTGGATTGGTGGTCAACTTCATGGGTACCCCAGGGAGTGTGAGGCCAGGGCCAGTCCTTTTTTTTCATGGCTGCCCCCCCCCCCCCCCCGCCAGTGCTCTGTACAGGGCCTGGCCCACAGTACCTGCTGTCAATACTGTTGAATGACTGAATGAAGGTATGTAATCAGTTCATGACCTCACACTGTTAGGGGTTGTCCCCCATAGTTTCACTTGTGTTGGTTTAGGCTGTGTGGCCTTGAGGGTGGGGTCATGCTTCACAGGAGAAGCATATCCTCCTGGGATAGCTGCACATAGCAGAAGCCTGGTCAGGACTCTGCTGGGTAGGACCAGGTCTTTTAGACCCCCTGCCCCACAAGCTTCCCCAGGATGGCCCCAGGCATGTGGTGGGCGCTGAGCTGCTGTTGGCTGAATGAATGTTAACCACCTCCCCATACCTCTTGGCCCTCAGTACTAAGAGCATGGTGGGGACTGTCTGGGGGTGGATCTGCAGCTCACCGTTCACCAGGGCAAAGTTCAGGCCTCTGCCCACGTTGTTTTTCACAGGACTCATGATCCTGAATAATAAGAAGAAAAACAAAATACAACAGTTGGTCCCCAGTGTGGAACGAACACTCTGCTTTTGTGACTCTGGAACTCTGAGGGGGCCCACACGGTGCTATGCAGAAGCATTAGGAAACACAGAATAATTTGGGCCATCTGTTTTCTCCTGGAAACGAGCGGTGGGCTGGATTCTCTGAGGAATATTCATGGCATGTTTGGACGAGAACAGTCTGCTTGGAAAAGAGGGAAGGTCCCTGCCTGGGGCTCTGCGGTGTTGGAGGTGGGACCAGCCCACCTCCCCCCAAGCAGTGAGGCCTGGTTGCTGGGAAGAAGGCAGAACCCAGAGTGCTGGTGCCATCCTGCAGAGGCTGAGATTTCCACATGGAGAGCTGTGTTCTTGCCTGACCAGCATCCACAGCCTGATCTTCTGGTATTTCTTGGGAAAACTATCTTTCTCTACTCTCAGATTAGGTAGTTCTCAGGGCTGACCTCAGTCTTCCAGGACCAGATGAGTAGAACACCCTGTGTCCCTGCCCACAGTAACTGAGCCAGGTACAGTCATATGACCCAGGCCAGCCAATGAAATTCAGTCTTGGGACTTTTATAGGGATAGTTTGGATGGGAATGCTCTCTTCCCAGTGGGGTGCCAGCCTGGGCTGCTCTGTCAACCAGCTAGTGGCCTCCCTCCACAGGAACCAACCCATTTTCATGTTGAGAAAACAGAATTTGACAGAAGAGAACAGAGCTAAAGATGGTGTGAGAGGGACCCCTGATGACATGGTTTAAACCCCCTGGATCCAGCTGGTCCTGAAGCCTGTTATCTCGACATTTTGTATATGGGAATCACTAAGTTCCTTCTTTTGCTCGAGTTGGGAGTTAGGTTCAAAATCCCTGTTTTTTAAAAAAGATTTCATTTATTTGGGACACCTGGGTGGCTCAGTTGGTTAAGCGGCTGCCTTGGGCTCAGGTCATGATCCCAGCGTTCTGGGATCGAGTCCCACATCGGGCTCTTTGCTCGGCAGGGATCCTGATTCTCCCTCTGCCTCAGCCTGCCACTGTCTGCCTGTGCTCGCTCTCGCTCGGCTCTCTCTCTCTGACAAATAAATAAATAAACTCTTAAAAAAAAAAAGATTTCACTTATTTGAGAGAGAGAGAGAGAGAGAAAGAGAGAAAAAGAGAGGGAAAGAGACTGAGAGAACAAGTGGGAGGAGGCACAGAGAGAAAAGCAGAGTCTCTGCAGAGCAGGGAGCCCAATGTGGTACCTGATCCCAGCAAGGCTGTCATTCAGAATAGAAGGAGAGATAAACAGCTTTTAGGACAGACAGAAACTAAAAGAATTTGTGACCCCTCAACCAGCCCTACAGGAAATACAATAGGGGATCCTTTAAGCAAAGAAAGAACCCAAAAGTAACAAAGACCAGAAAGCAACAGAGACAATATACAGAAACAATGACTTTACAGGTAATAATTCAATGGCACAAAATTCATATCTTACAATAGTTACTCTGAATGTAAATGGGCTAAATGCCCCAATCAAAAGACAAAGGGTATCAGATTAGCTAATAAAGCATGATCCATTGATATGCTGTCTACAAGAGACTCATTTTAGACCCAAACACACCTCCACGTTGAAAGTGAGGGGGTGGAGAACAATTTATCATGCTAATGAACCTCAAAAGAAAGCTGGGTTGGCAATCCTTATATCAGAGCAATTAATTTTAAACCAAAGACTATCAAAAGAGATGAGGAAGGACACTATACCATAAAATTAAAGGGCCTAGCCAACAAGAATTAACAACTGTTAATATTTATGCCCCTAACATGGGAGCAGTCAATTATATGAACCAATTAATAACAAAATTAAAGAAACATATCAATATATTAATAGTAGGGGACTTTAATATCCCTCTCACTGAAATGGACAGATCATCTAAGCAGAAGATCAACAAGGAAACAAGGGCTTTAAATGACACACTGACCAGATGGACTTCACAGACACATTCAGAACATTCCATCCTAAAGCAACTGAATATACATTCTTCTCTAGTGCACACGGAACATTCTCCAGAATAGATCACATCCTGGGTGACAAATCTGGTCTCAACTGGTACCAAAAGATTGGGATTATTCCCTGCCTATTTTCAGACCACAGTGTTCTGAAGCTAGAACTCAATCACAAGAGGAAATTTGGAAGGAACACAGATACATGGAGGTTAAAAGAGCATCCTAGCAAAGAATGAATGGGTCAACCAGGAAATTAAAAATTCAAAAAAATTCATGGAAAGGAATGAAAATGAAAACACAACTGTTCAAAGCTGTTGGGATGCAGCAAAGGCAGTCCTAAGAGGGACATATATAGCAATACAAACCTTTCTCAAGAAACAAGAAAAGTCTCAAATACACAACCTAACCTTACACCGAAAGGAGCTGGAGAAAGAACAGCAAAGAAAGCCTAAACCCAACAGCAGGAGAGAATAAAGATTAGAGCAGAAATTAATGAAATAGAAACCAAAAGAACAGTGGAGCCAATCAACAAAATTAGGAGCTGGTTCTCTGAAAGAATTAATAAGATCCATAAACCCCTGGCCAGACTTATCAAAAAGAAAAGAGAAAGGACCCAAATAAATAAAATCATGAATGAAAGAGGAGAGATCACAACCAACACTGAAGAAATACAAACAATTAAAGGACATATTATGAGCAACTATACGCTAGCAAATTAGACAATCTGGAAGAAATAGATGCATTCCTAGAAATGTATAAACTACTGAAACTGAACCAGGAAGAAAAAACCTGAACAGATCCATAACCAGCAAGGAAATTGAAGTAATAATTAAAAATACCCCAACAGACAAGAGTCCAGGGCTGGAGGTCTTCCCAGGGGAATCCTAGCAAACATTTAAAGAAGAACTAATACCTATTCTTCTGAAGCTGTTTCAAAAAACAGAAATGGAAGGAAAACTTCCAAACTCATTCTATGAGGCCAACATTACCTTGATACCCAAACCAAAGACCCCACCAAAAGGAAAATTACAGACCAACATCCCTAATGAACATGGATACAAAAATTCTCACCAAGATACTAGCCAACAGGATCCAACAGTACTTTAGAAGGATTATTCACTTATGGACATTGGGGAGGGTATGTGCTATGGTGAGTGCTGGGAAGTGTGTAAGCCTGACGATTCACAGACCTGGACCCCTGGGACTAATAATACATTATATGTTAATTAAAAAAAAAGGATTATTCACCATGACAAGGTGGGATTTATTCCTTGCTGCAAGGGTGGGTCAACACCCATAAATCAATCAATGTGACACACCACATGAATACAAGAAAGGACAAGACCCATATGACGCTCTCAATTGATGCTGAAAAAGCATTTGACAAAGTACAGCATCCTTTCATGATTAAAACTCTTCACAGTGTAGAGATAGAGGGTACATACCTCAATATCATAAAAGCCATCTATGATCCAGGATCTATAAAGAACTCCTCAAACTCAACACACACAAAACAGATAATCATATCAAAAAATGGGCAGAAGATATGAACAGACACTTCTCCAATGAAGACATACAAATGGCTATCAGACACATGAAAAAATGTTCATCATCATTAGCCATCAGGGAGATTAAAATTAAAACCACATTGAGATATCACCTTACACCAGTTAGAATGGCCAAAATTAGCAAGACAGGAAACATGTGTTGGAGGGGATGAGGAGAAAGGGGAACCCTCTTACACTGTTGGTGGGAATGCAAGGTGGTGTAGCCTCTTTGGAGAACAGTGTGGAGATTCCTCAAGAAATTAAAAATAGAACTTCCCTATGACCCTGCAATTGCACTACTGGGTATTTACCCCAAAGATACAGATGTAGTGAAAAGAAGAGCCATCTGTACCCCAATGTTTATAGCAGCAATGGCCATGGTTGCCAAACTGTGGAAAGAACCAAGATGCCCTTCAATGGACGAATGGATAAGGAAGATGTGGTCCATATACACTATGGAATATTATGCCTCCATCAGAAAGGATGAATACCCAACTTTTGTAGCAACATGGACGGGACTGGAAGAGATTATGCTGAGTGAAATAAGTCAAGCAGAGAGAGTCAATTATCCTATGGTTTCACTTATTTGTGGAGCATAACAAATAGGATGGAGGACATGGGGAGTTAGGAGAAAGGAGTTGGGGGAAATTGGAAGGGGAGGTGAACAATGAGAGACTATGGACTCTGAAAAACAATCTGAAGGGTTTGAAGAGGTGGCGGGGTGGGAGGTTGGGGGAACCAGGTGGTGGGTATTAGAGAGGGCACGGATTGCATGGAGCACTGGGTGTGGTACAAAAACAATGAATACTGTTATGCTGAAAATAAATTAAAAAAATGATTAATAAAAAGAAAATAAAAACCATCTATGAAAAACCCACAGCAAATATCCTTCTCAGTGGGGAAAAACTGAGAGCTTTTCACCTAAGGTCAGGAACACGGCAGGGATGTCCACTATCACCACTGCTATTCAACATAGTACTAGAAGTCCTAGCCTCAGCAATCAGACAACAAAAAGAAATAAAAGGCATCCAAATCGGCAAAGAAGTCAAATGCTCACTCTTTGCAGAAGACCTTATACTCTATATGGAGAGCCCAAAAGACTCCACCCCAAAATTGCCAGAGCTCATACAGGAATCCAGTAAAGTGGCAGGATATAAAATCAATGCACAGCAATCAGTTGCATTTCTATACACTAAAAATGAGACAGAAGAAAGAATTACAACTGTACCCCAAATCGTAAAATACCTAGGAATAAACCTAATGAAAGAGGCAAAGGCTCTGTACTCTAAAAACTATAGAACACTCATGAAGGAAATAGAGGAAGACACAAAGAAATGGAAAAACATTCCATACTCATGGGCTGGAACAACAAATATTGTTAAAATGTCTATGCTACCTAGAGCTATCTACACATTTAATGCAATCCCTATCAAAATACTATCAACATTTTTCACAGAGCTGGAAATAAATAATCCTAAAATTTTTATGGAACCAGAAAAGACCCCAAATAGCCAAAGGAATGTTGAAAAAGAAAACTAAAGTCAGTGGTATCACAGTTCCCAGACTTCAAGCATTATTACAAAGCTGTCATCATCAAGACAGTATGGTACTGGCACAAAAACAGACACATAGATCAATGGAACAGAATAGAGAGCCCAGAAATAGACCCTCAAGTCTGTGGTCAACTACTCTTGACAGAGCAGGAAAGAATGTCCAATGGGAAAAAGACAGTCTCTTCAACAAATGGTGTTAAGAAAACTGAACGGCCACATGCAAAAGAATGAAACTGGACCATTTTCTTACATCGTACACAAAAATAAACTCAAACTGGATAAAACACCTAAATGTGAGACAGGAATCCATCAAAGTCCGAGGGGAGAGCAAAGGCAGCAGCTTCTTTGTTGGCCGCAGCAACTTCTTTCTAGACACATCTCCAAAGGCGAGAGAAACAAGAGCAAAATGAACTATTGCGACTTCATCAAAATAAAAAGCTTTTGCACAGCAAAGGAAATAGTTGACAATACCAAAGACAACCTACAGAATGGAAGAAGATATTTGCAGATGTCTTATCAGATAAAGAGCTAGTATCCAAAATCCATAAAGAACTTATCAACTCAACACCTGAAGAACACATAATCCAATCAAGAAATGGGAAGAAGACATCAAGAGCCGTTTTCCCAAAGACATACAAATGGCCAATAGACACATGAAAAAACACTTAGCATCACTGGGCATCAGGGAAGTACAAATCAATACCATAATGAGGTACCACCTCACACCAGTCAGAATGGCAAAAATTAAAAACTCTAGAAACAACAGGTGTTGGCGAGCATCTGGAGAAAGGGGAACCCTTTTACACTGTTGGCACGAATGAAAGCTGAGGTAGCCATTCTGGAAAACAGCATGGAGGTTCCTCAAAAAGTTAAGAATAGAGCTACACTACCACCCAGCAACTTCATTACTAAGTATTTATTCAAAGGATACAAACAGTGATTCAAAGGGACACGAATGTTTACAGCAGCAATGTCCACAATAGCCAAACTATGGAAAGAGCCCAGATGTCCACTGACAGATGAATGTATAAAGAAGATGTGGTATAGGGGCACCTGGGTGGCTCAGTGGGTTAAAGCCTCTGCCTTCAGCTCAGGTCATGATCCCGGGATCCTGGGATGAGCCCCGAATCAGGCTCTCTGTTCAGTAGGGAGCCTTATTCCCCCTCTTTCTCTCTGCCCACCTCTCTGCCTACTTGTGATCTGTCAAATAAATAAATAAATCTTTAAAAAAAAAAAAGGAAGATGTTGTGTATACATACAATGGAATATTACTCAGCCATTAAAAAGAATGAAATCTTGCCATTTGTGATGATGCGGATGGAACTAGAGGGTATTATGCTAAGTGAAATAAGTCAAAGACAAATACCATATGATTTCACTCATATGTGGAATTTAAGAAAACAGATGAACATGGGGAAGGGAAGGAAGTAAAATAAGATGAAAATAGAGAGGGAGGCAAGCCATAAGAGATTCTTAATCATAGGAAACCAACTGAGGGTTGCTGGAGGGGAGTTGGGTGGGAGAATGGGGTAACTGGGTGATGGGCATGAAGGAGGGCACGTGGTGTAATGAGCACTGGGTGTTCCATGCCACTGATGAATCACTAAATTCTACCTAAAAAATAATACAGTATATGTCAAATTAAATTACATTTAAATAAAGAAAAATACATACATACATAAATACATACACCACCAGTCCCTGGCCCCTTTGACAGGATAAACTTAGTGCCCCAGAGCCTTTACCATCTGGTTTGGATAATGGGTACATAATCTTTGTCCTGCACCTGGATGGAAGCCCCCGCACCTGCTCCATCTGAACTTTGAGGTCTGAATCTTGATTCTGAGCTCTACCCAGAGGCATTCCCCTTTAGAGGAAGCCCAGGACCTTGCTGTCAGGCAGACAAGCTCAAGAGTTCAAATCCAGACTCTGCCACGGGTCAGCTGGGTAATGGCTTCTGAACCTCCATTTCCTCATCTTTGCAAAGGGGTTAATTGCAACCCCCCCACCCCCACCCCCCAGGGTAGGTTGGGGGATTGAATGAGAGGAAGCCGGGAAGCATTTAGCAAGGTGCTGGCGGATGGGAAAGCTGTCTGGATTACTGTTATTTGTGACTCATCCACCCAGAGGAAAACCAAGCCAGTGCAAGGTGTGGGCCCGTCTCAGCGCCCGCCCTTGCAGCCTTCGAATTGGCGAAGGAACCCGTGAAAAGAAAGGGAACGCAAGAAACTTACACAAGGTTTTCGAAGCACATGGTGGGACCCACGACGTTAGCGGCTCCGCTGCTGATTTTAAAGGCAAAGAAATTGTCCGGGCAGGGCTTGCTGAGGCCGCACTTGGTCCTCGCGACCTCTGTGGAGGGAACAGACCAACCTTGGTGGTCGCAGCGTGGCAAGGGGCTCGGGAGGAAGCAGGGGAGCGGCCTGGGACAGGCTCCGGACCCTGAGAGAGGCCTCCTCCCCAAGGCACCTTTGCTGACCATCTGAGGCCTGGGGGCGGGGGGGGGGGGCGGTTTGCCCCTTTACGCATGCGCAGGACGCCTCCAGCCCTCCCCACCGAAGACCCAGGACACCTGTGTGTCTGACCACCCTCGAGTTTATTTTCAGGGTTTCCACGACAGCTCTAGCTCCAGCTCAGCGCCTGACTCTGATTCAGACCCATGTCCTCTCCCGGTGGCCCTCCCACGGCCAGCCCCAGAGGCTGGAGAGAGGCGGGAGATGTATCTGGGACCCCCAAACACAACGGACTCTTTGTGAGCGGGGATCTCTGTCACCTGTTTTCAGCCCGGCAGGCTCTCATTTATATTAATCCCTGCTGTTGCTGGTTTTTTTTTTTTTTTTTTTTTTTTTTAACACCACCTGACAGTTTGGAAAGTACCATTAGGGAGGCTGGGTAAACACGGAATTAGAGAAGGTTCACCTGCAAAGGGAAAGCCATGATCGGGCATCCTGTGTCCTCCAGCCCCTGTCCCGCGCCCCGTCGAGCTATGGCAGCACGGGCTTGGAGCAGACCCCCAGGCTTCCTGAGACAAGCTGGCAGCCGCCTGGGGCTTGCTGTGTGCTAAGCACTGTGGCAAGCACTTTACATTTATTATCTTATTAAATCGTGCCGGGAACTCCTGTGTCTGGCACTCTAGGGCCTGGCACACAGTAGGCACTCAATAAACATTCACTGAATGAACGATAGGTGGTTGGGCAGGGCTGGGCTCCAAGCTGGGAGAAAGGATGCCATCAGGGTTCTGAGGATCTTGCCAGCCTCTAGGGAGCCTTTCTGTGCCTCAGGGAAAAGTGCCCCTCTCGGGGGGACACAACCCAATGTGCAAGCCCACTCCCGGGTACTCCAGCCAAGCAGGCGGCCCTGGAGGCCTGAGTGGAATGCCTATGGTGGGCTCTCTGCCCTGCCTCCTGCTCCGAGACTCAATAAACCCACCTGATGGGTATAACCAGAGCTCAAACCAGGACACTGTCACCAGAATGAGCGCCAGGTGCCGAGACTCCCACAAGGGGCTGTTAAGGGCAGAGTGGGTGTCTAGGCCGGTGGCACTGGTCAAAGAGAGCTGGGGACATGGGGACCTGACTCCCCTGCTCCACCTTCTGAAGAGGGCCCTTCTCAGGAGGCCTAGCACCTGCCGAAAGGTGGGCATGAAGGCTGAGGATGAGGCTGGGGAGGGGTCCTACTCTCCTGTGAGCCTTGGGCCCTCACCTCTGGTGCCCTGTCCCCTCATGGAAAGGCCAGGTAACTCCTGAGACCAGACATTCTTACTGATGCTGGAGGGATTGTTCCAGGCCCTGGACCCCACTGTAGAGTTTGCCCAGAGCCTAATCAACTGCAGCTAAGTCTGATAAACCTGATGTCAACAAGCTGGCTTAAGCAGGCTTTTCCAGAATTGATTTTCTGACCATCCAGCTTTTACGGTCCAGCTACTGGCTGAAGGGGATGACGTCCAGGGGGCTCAGCCACTGGGAGGCAGGGATTTGCCTTCTGGATTTGGGCTGGGGGGCTGCCCCCACCAGCTGCCTCAAACCCTGAGACTCCAAGCCTTCTGGGAACCCCTAGTGCTGTTGCTGACGGTGTGAAACAGAGCATGGGGGCAGGGGGCAGGGGAGCAGTCAGGAAATGTGGGCTGCTCTTGAATAATCTTCAGTGTGACTTGCCAGAAATCTCTCCCTTTACCTTTGCCAGCTATAAAATGAAGGAGTTGGTTTAGATCAGGGCTGTCGGATAGGTCTTCTCGGAACTGTCAGTGGAGCCGCTATTAAGGGGCTTAACCATCAATGTCGACCAGGAGAGCCGGCGGGGGGGAGGCAGCGTGTGTGCCCAGATCTGTCATGCCCCAGCAGATGATGCCTGAGTGTGTGTTTGTACCGAGATGCTGTGCTACTCTGTGTCTACTCCAGAATAGGACTCAGGAGGCTCAGGTCAATGGAGTTGCAAGTGTGGGTGAATGGTTGGTGTTGATCCATATGGTCTTTGCTCTCTGTAACCCCACAGTGCACGGGGGCCCCCATGCCCTTCTCATTCAAAATTCTCCTCCTGGAACTACAACCCTCTTCTGTCACTATTACGTTAGGGTGGGAGAAGGGGGGCTTGGAGATGTTGCCTCCTGAAAGGAGCGTTGAGACGGTGGACTCTGGGCTAGCCTAGAGTTGAACTCCTGCTCCACTGTGTACATCTGTGTTGCCTTGGCCAAGAGATTTCACTTCTCTGAGCTTCAGTGTGCCCACCTATAAAATGGGTATAATTAGAGAGCCTACCCGAGGTGGTGAGGATTGCATGAGATACCTGGAACGCTCTGAACACAGAACATAGTAGGCCCTCCATCACTGTACTATCATCATCATTATCATCATAACTGTCCGTCCCTTCCCCCCTCTCCACACTTTGGGAGCTGTGGTCTTTCGCTGAAGCCCTGCTTGGACGGCTGCAGTATCCAACATTGGAGGCCTCAGCATTCCCACTTTCCAGTGCCTGACTTTCCAGCCATGGTCTCTCTTGCAGCCCCCCACATTACTGCCTCCAGGCCTTTGCCATTCCCTCCCTAATGGCTTCTCTGATCTCATCCCGTTGGAAGGGGGTAGCCCTCCCGGAGGCCGGACCACTCTGCCCCATCTCTCTTGGCACACTGGGCACTTCTACCCTAAAAGACAACCAGCACCCCCTTCTATATGCTTCTGGGGACACCTGGAGTGCCCCATATGGCCCTGGGTACTCTGGAGCAGGAACTGTGACCCAAGCCTCTGGTCGCTGCACGATAAGAAGCACAACACCCATCTTCAGGGCTCTGGCTCAGTGGGGGTCAGAGAGGGGAGGTTGCTGTGCAGGGCCAGGGGCTGTGACTAGGGAGGCAATCCAGACTGCAGGGTGGGGTTGCTAGGGAAGGGAGAGCTGAGCCATCTCCATCAGTCTGAATGGCTGAGAGGAGGCCACTACTGCTACAGGGCTGGGGGGGCTTCAGAAGGCACCTTGGGGCCATGGGAGGAGAGAGCCGGGCAGATTCTGGGCACCAAGATTTTTCTAGGGCCTGCAGGGCTGGGAGGAGCAGCCCTGGAAAATCTCACTCTAAGGCAAAGGCAGGGCTGGGGTGATACTCACCAACCTTCTTGGTGTCCAAATCTGCTGGAGAGAAGACACAATCTGGTTAGCGAGAAAGTGCTTTGGGCGCCCCCTGCTGGAGGCTGGAGAGTGGTACTGGCCCGGCCAAGCGTTCTCCTTCTGTGGGGGATGTTGAGGTGAACTCTAGAAGTCCCACCCTGTCAGGGAGCCCTCCCTCACCTTCCACTGCCACCCCTTCACTCACACACACACACACAGCACTTCCTACTCTAACAGAGCACGTTATTAAATGCATAAAATAAAATAGATTAGAATGGAAACCAATTATACATCAATATAATAATAAAATATTAAAACATAAATTTGTGCTACAATAATCTATGTGCTTCTTTATTAGTGCATTAAATAATAAGGTGGGGGGGGTGTATGAAGCCAGGGTAGGAACCTCTGAAGAAAGTGATTACCCCTTTCCGCAGCTGAGCATTCATGGTTTTCAATGGCCACTTTCCCACTGGTTACCTGTCCTGTCACCGTAAGTATTTCTTGAGACCCTGGATCATCACTTTTGTTTTTGTATATTCTGTAATTAAGTCTGTTTGTCTTTCTGACTCAGACCATGAGTGGGGGCCACATGTTTCTCATTTTGGGGTCCCTGGGACCTAACACAGAATAATTACTCCATGTTGGTTAGAGGTGTTGATTATCAGACTTCAGTTCTGGGGTGTACTTTCAAACCCTGTCCTCTTTCTCACTTCAGGCTGGGGCTCTCTCCTTTAGAGGACATCCCTGAGCTCCACTTCTGCTCAGAGCCTCCTACACTGACCTGGGCCCATCTCTTCCCAGGCTGTCCACACAGCCAAGTCCATCTCTGTAAAAGCACTGCCCTGGGGCCGGGGACATGGTGGCCTACATGGGTTTATACAATTCATCCTGATGTGGGTGTGAGCCACACCTGACCAGAAGTGGACAAGGTGTGGCATCTCAGAGACTCCTCTGTGTGGTGACTGGCTTCTCATTGCTGTGAAGTTGTGAGCTAGCCTGCCCTGCTAGAGGTTACTGACCAGGTCAGTGGAGGTCATTCCCTAAATCCAAGGAGGACAAATAAGGATGCATAAATCCCTTTCCTTTCCTTCCTTCCTTTGAAAGGATTTGGACCTGGGAGACTTGGGCTCCCATTCCTGCTGACCTCTATAGGGGAAATTTGGGCAACTTTCTTCATCTCCCTGAAGCTCCCTGAGCTTCTCCTTTCTTAGACTACACATAAAACCACACCGCGAAGTCGTGTATGAGTCCACTCCACAACCACACCATGGATCACCTCATGGGGCCATTTGTGTAGATTATATGAGGTTATTCATGTAAGCAACTGGTATCCATTACTCATCCATCATCCACCCAGACATCATTCATTCACCCATCCATCATCCACTCATCCACCCATCTACCCATCCATCCATCCAGCCACCCATCTGCCATCCAACCATCCATCTACCCATCTATCCACCCTTTCATCATTCATCCATCCACCCATCCATTACCCACCTACCCACCATCCATCCATCTATACATCTGTCCACCCATTCATAATCTATCCATCCATCCATCCCTCCACCCACCATCTACCAATCCACCCATCCATCAACCATCTATCCATCATTCATCTATCCATCCATGCATCCACTATCCATCCATCCACCTGTCCATCCATCCACCTACATATCCATCCATTCACCCATCCTTCCATCCACCTTCCATCAGTCCACCCATTCATCATTCATCCATCCATCCATTCATTTTTCTTTCATTCATCAAATGTTTACTGAGCATCTGCCCTGCACTGAGTGCTAGAGAAATGGATGCACACAGGATAAAATCCTTGCCTTCAGGAAGGTTACATTCTAGGGGATGGTGATCGAAAACAACCAAGTAGACAAATAAACACCCTATTAATGGATGATGGTGAAGCTCTCAAGGAAATAGGCTGACATAGGGGCTAAAGTAGAGGGAGGTGTCACGGCTGCAGCTGGGGTTGTTGGGGAAGGCCTCTCTGAGGAGGTCATATTTGAGCAGAGACCTCAAGTTGGAGAAGAGGGACATCTGTGTGAAGAGTGTTTCAGGAAGAGGCGAGAGCAGCCGTGGCTAGATACCACTCAATGCTCAGTTTTGTGTCTCTTGGCTTCCTCCCTTCCCTCCTCCCTTCCTTCCTTCTTTTCTTCCTCCCTCTGTCCATTTTTCTTGGAATCACATTTCCAAAATGGCCCTTGATGCAGGCACATGTTTGGCCAGGGTCTTGGAACACTTCTCTGTTTCCCCATGGGCTCCAGGCTTCCTGGCAGGCTCCACCCCCCCCAAGGCTGGAGTCCCAAAGGCAGCCCAAACTCTGCCATGTCTGGCTGTCTCCTGAGTCACCCACAGATGGAGGGAGGACTATCTTTGGCTCCGTCCTGGTCCACAGTCCCTGCCCCAGCAGTGAGCCCCACTCACCCAGCCAGCGGGACAGATGGATAGTTTTCATGTTTAAGCTGATGAAGCTGCGAAAAAAGATCCATGTGGAGACCAGGGCAAAGATGAGGGCCAGGAGTCGGAGCACACCTGCAGAGCAAGGAGATCCTGCCGTGAAGCCCCATCACAAGGCCACATAGCAAGGCTCCTTGTGAGTCCTTACCGAATCCCCACAGTGAGACCATGTCACGAGACCCCACCAGACTGAGGCCCACACCTTGGACCAGGTCAGGGGACCGCGTGGTGGGACTATGTGCGAGTCCATGCAGTGATCAAATGGTGAGACCGTGCTGCAAGGTGACGTGGCCACATTTCCCCAAGTGGGTCTACTGGGAGAAAAAGTTAGAAATGAGCCTTCCTGGGCTCCACGTAGCCACCCAGAGACAGACTCTTGAGGGGTGAGGCCCAGGAATCTGCACTCTTATCCAGCACCCTGGGATGAGGCCCAAGTGTGTGGCAGCAAAGCAGGAGGCAGGTTCTGCAGCAGATAGCCCGCTCGGGGAGCCCCGCCACAGGAGTCAGGAAGGCTGTGGCAGTGCTCTGGATAGCCAGTGCCGCTGTATGACCTCGGGCCAAAGCTCAGCCTCTCTGGGCAGGAGTGCCTCAGTCAAGGGTGGACATGGTTCAACAGCCTTGCTTCCGAGCCCACAGCTCGCTGGGAGCGATGGGATAGTTGTCTCTAGTAGGCAGCTTCCAAGGTGGCTTGGGGCTAGAGCTGGTCCTTCACATTTTCCATCACTCCTCCTGAAAGCTGCCACAAATAATCACACAATACTATCTATAGGAACATACACCGGCCTTGCTGCCGTGGCTTCCCTGGCCTCACAGCCTGACTGCTTCTGCACCAGTGGGGAGCAAACCCCCACCCAGGGCAGACCCCCAGAGCTCCCAGTCTCACTCCCTTCCCCCACTCTCCCATGAGGGCCAAAGGCAGGTGCCACTACACCTCCTAGCTCAGGGACTCTGGTGGCCCCATTGCCATCAAGCCACACTCTCTAGGTCCATCCCTGACCTCCGTGTGGCCCTGAATTCAGCTCTGGGGTCTTGTGTTAGCCTCTCGCTACTAGGGGTGGAGAAGGCCCCTGGATCCTGTGGGGTACGGTTCAGGGCTGTGGAGGGTCCCTCATCTTCTGGGCCCCAGTGTGGCTGGAGGCACCCAGAATTCTCCCTGGGCATCAGCTCACATGATAGAGACTTTTGTTGGAGGCAGTGGGCCAACAGCTTTCACGTACATAGTTATGTCAGTTCATCCTCACAGTAAATGTACGTGTTGGATGCTACTGATCATTACCATTTTGCAGATGAGGAAACAGGCTCAGGGAGGTGGTCAGTTGGCTCAGACGTGGCGTTTGAAGGGAAGGGAAGTGCGCTGACTCTAAAACTTGTGCTCTGAACTTCCTCACAGCTATTTGGGAATATAAATGAATTGTCCATTTCTTCCTTGGTGCCTCAGTCTCCCTATCTGTACAGAGGGTAAAGCATGAGAACATGGATGAGAAGGCAAAGGCTGCTCCTTGTGCCCAGCCCCGTGGTATGAAGTTTCTAGAACAGCCCTCCTTGAGCCCTCACTTCCTTCCAGGGTTAGGTATCTCCAAAATAGGGACAGTCCCTGTGATCCCAGCCTGGTGGGGCCATGATGGCAAAGCTTATCTGGCCCTTCAGCCTATGGGCAGCAAGTTGCCTTTTCCTCTCTTTCAGGCTTACCCCTGGATGGGTTTCCTCCTAGAGTTAGTCTGGTCTGAATATTTGAGAGCATGGGATGCCAAACAAGCTCTGAGTCCAGGGACTGGCTGCACTCCTGATAGAAAAAATGATTCCTAAATCAGTATCAGACCTTGAGACTTTGAATCCTTGGAACGTGGCCCCTACCTGATCTTCTCATCTTGTTCAGGTGAGGAGCAGCTTGGGGTCAGTGTTAGCCTGTGGAGAGAAGGAAATCAAATTGGAAACTGGCACCTGGGGTCTGAAAATGAATAAGGTAGATGATCAGGGATGAGTATCTCTGACTGAGGAGATCACTGACTTTCGGTTTGGTTCCTCACCATCTGTCTTCTGTTCACTCTCTGCCTCCACCTCTCCTTCACTTTTGCCCCTAGGATTTTATATTCTATTCAACACGTCTTTTTTGAGTGCAGAGATTGGCAGGTAGAGGAAGTTGTAGTCTGCCAGCCACTGTCTCTTGGAGGATTGATTTATTCATCCATCCATCCATCCATCCATCCTTCCACCCTTCCATCTGTCCATCCTTCCACCCTCCATTTGTCCATCTTTCCATCCGTCCATCCTTCCACCCTCCATCTGTCCATCTTTCCATCCGTCCATCCTTCCACCCTCCATCCATCTTTCCATCCGTCCATCCGTCCATCCTTCCATCCATCCATCCATCCTTCCGTCCCTCCAGCCAGCTGAGAGACATTGAGCTAGCTGGCTCCAGCAAAACCATCAGGAAACAGCAGCTCGAGTGATTTCTGCCAAAGTGCCAAGGGGAAGAGTAACGAGAACGCTCACATTACGGGTGAGTTTGCGCAGGTGCTATATACGCAGTTATCTCCTTTCGTCCTCGCACACCCCCATTTTAAGGGTAGGTAAGCCAAGACTTGCCATGGTTAAGCCCAGGGTTATTCAGCTGGTAAGGGTCACAGCCAGAATTTGGAGCAGGTCTCCACTGCCCAATCCCCACAGGGTCCCACTGCCAGGGCCCTTTGTCCCAGAGGAGAGTTGAAACTGGAGTTCCCTGCCTTCTTGATCCCCAGGCCCCAGCTTTCACCTGTGTCACCCCCCAGGTGCTGGGCAGTTCCCAGTGACTCAGCAGCTGTGAAGACCCCCAGGGGGTATCTAGAAACCTAGGGGAGGGAAAGGCTGGTGGTAACTGTTCTAAGTCTCTGAACCCCCACAGCCAGCTGGAGCGGCTCTGACTGCAAGGAATTGCTCCCACGACTTTTCTTGCCCCCTTCCTACTCCAGAATCTTCTTTATCCTAAGAATCCATCCCAACAAACTTGGTCTCCAAAGCCCTACCGTCAAGGACCCAGATAAGAGACAGGAGGCCATTCAAGCAGTTCCCTGGGTCACTCCCTGATATTTAAACAAAAGCAAGGGCAAATCTACATTTCCTTTTGATAAGTATGAAAATGTTCCCACCCACTCAGACCTGCCGGTTAGGTCCTTCGGTTAGGTCCTTCTGGGTGAGAGAGGTGAGCCCGTGCCTGACTCCACCCACAGAGGTTTTATAGAACTTTAACTTCCTGAAATTCAAATGATCACCTCACCCACCCCCCACTCTTTTTCGATACGAGAGTATATTATGCTTTTGAGTATTCCTGGAATCTGACCTACAGTCTGGGAGCCCAGGCCCCCAGATGATGCTGAAGGACGTTCCGTGGGATCCGCATGTGTGGGGACCCAGGAGAGCTGGGGGCCAGACAGGATGGAAGGATGGGAACTGGGTCAAGTGGTTGGGGACGCACAGGTGACGAGATACACGTTGATATTCATAGAGAGCAGGCGGGAGACGGAACTCGGAGAGACAAAGGACGAGGGGCTGAGGGGACGGCAGAGATAGAGAGAGGGACACAAAGAGAAAGAACAAGACAGGGACAGAGGAGGAAAACACATAAAGGAGCAGAGGGAAGAGCAAATACTCAGGACATGCATTTACCCAGGCTCAGAGGGAGAAAAAGTGCCATTCAGAGAGAGACAAGAGAGATGGGACAGAGATAGAGGCTGGGACGCATACCTGGGCAGGGGGCTAGCTTCTCGCTGTCCTGCCCATGCCAAGCATGGATTCTGGCTTCAGGGCTTGGGGGTGGGGAGAGCGGTGAGTCTGATGTCCCTCCTGGCTGAGTCCCCAACCGTCCCCTCAGCACCTGCAGGGCTCTTCAGTCTCCTGAGCTCCCCGCCCGCTCACCTGGCCAGCTCACCCTGCCAGCCCATGGGTGCTCAGGAGGCTCTAGCTCCACAGTCCTGGGCTCTGGGACCGGGTCTGCTGGGGGTGGAGAGGGAGGGAGGAAGGCACTTGGGACCGGTATTCGGGGTGGGGCAAGAATTCCATCCGTAACCACCCAAACTCAAAAGTTTCTTCCTTACTTGTTCCTGCGAGAACGTCTGTCACAACCTGTTATTCAGGTTACGGAGCTGTGGGGCAAAGGCATGGGGAGAAAGGTCTGACTGTCCTTGCACACATATGATGGCCCCAGGGTAGTATGTGGTCACAGGGCTGGCGGTGGTGGGAGGCTGGAGGGTGGAAAGGAGGGGATGGAGCTGGAGGAGTAGGGTGGGGAAGGCAGAACCCATGGTCCTCCCTCACTGTCCTGAGCCTCTCTCCCTTTGTCCTGCCCCTCCCCTTGGACCCCTTGGGATTTCTGGCTGCATGTCTGGCTCTGTGCGTAAGCCGCAAGCATGCTTTCCTTTTCCATGGCAGGCCTGGTTTCCTGCAGGCCCTGTACAAGGCTGAGCACAGAGGTGGTGCTCCATGAATATCAGGGGCCTGAATGAACCGGATTCTTGCACAGTCCTGAAAGGTTAGGGCAATGAAATGACTGTGTAGAGAAGGAAGCTGAAGTTCAGAGAGGGCAATTGACTTGTCTAAGGCCATACAGCAACTTGTGGATTTAATTTCTGAAGCAGTCTCTGAGCAATCACAGGAAGGCAGGCTGTGTATGAGACGGGGGATAGGGCTGTGAGCAAGACATGCCTGGGTGGCTCAGTCTGCCTTCGGCTCCTGTCATGATCCCAGGGTCCTGGGATCGAGCCCACATCGGACTCCCTGCTCAGCAGGGAGCCTGCTTCTCCCTCTCGCACTGCTGCTCCCACTGCTTGTACTCTCTGTCAAATAAATAAAATCTTAAACAAACAAACAAACAAACAAAAGACATGCTCAGGGCATCTCTGAACCTTTGTCCTGTTGCTCCCTGTCTGTCTCTTTGCTTGGAACACTTCTACTTATACTTCACGTCTCAGTGTAGAAGTTGCTTCCTCTGGGAAGCTTTTCCTGAACCCCCAAATCAGGGCTAATGCCTACCTGTGGTCCTGGATGAGGGGACCCCCATCATGGCCCTCCATCCTGTCAAGAGGAGCTGGTAACAAGGTGATTTCTCTATGGTTGGTTTAGAAGGGGGCATGGGACCCAAGCAAGGCCAATCAGAGTTTTTCCTTGGACAGATCTTGGAAACTGGGGGGTGGGGAGATGGGGGGATAAGGGGTGGGAGTGGGGGGGGTAGAGAAGCTGTTTTTTCCCGGTGACTCTAAGTTGGACATCTGTGAGTCTGGGGCTGCTGGAGCCCCTTTCTCAGCTACTCTAACATCCTGCCAGAGGATGAAAATGCCAGGCTGAGCATGGGGCAGTGCTCATGGCCTTGGTCTTGAGAGGGTCGGGGAGGAAGGAGCAGTGATGTCAGGAAAGAGGACGGACTTCAGGTCCATCAGAGAGACCTGCACTCGTCACTCAGTTCTTGTGTGTTTTGGGGCACACCTCTCTGGACCCCGGCTTCCTCCTCTATAAGATGAGGGTGATGCCATCTACTTGTCCTGAAAGGGGTGTCAGGCAGGGAGGCCGCCTGTCTACAAGGACTTTGCTAGCTGATGACATCCACCCCAGCCCTCCTCCCTGTGGGCAAGACCCATTCACCCCTGCTGCTTCCTGCTAGCACACCTTGCCAGGATTCCTATCCGGATGTTTGCTCTTCCAACGAAACTAAAATGCCATCACAGCCTGTTTGTTTGTGACATTTCTTAATGGTCCTATAAGAGAGCTTCTTCCTGTTTCCTGGAGTCTTCTCTACTCAGGTGCCTTTGAGCTCAGCCATGATCTGTCCCAGAGCCAAGATGAATGGAGGGCGGATTACTCTCTTTCCAGGCTAGGAGGGTGGAGGAAAGCACCTTGATGAAGAAATAAATAGGTATTTCTCCTGCTTAAGTCTGGTCTCTGGTCCCTAAGGCCCTTAGGATACAGGCCAAAGTATCTCATGTGCTTATAAGGCCTCACATGATTTAAACGCTGGCATGAGATGGACCTTGCCGCCCTCATCATCTGCGGTCCCCACTCCTCCTTCTGCTCCAGATGCTCAGAGCAGCCCCGAGTGAGGCTCTCTCCCTCGCCAGTTTTGCACATGCTGTTCTGTATGGGCATTGCTCTTCCAGGACTCATCCTCTAGGGCAACTGCTCCTTGGCCTCGGGTCACTGCTCCTTGGCCTCAGGTCCTCACCCAAGCAGCCCTTTGTCCTTGGAAAGACAGAATTCAGAAGCTGTTTCCTAGCTCATCATAAGGATCCAGGCTTAGCCGACGGTCACTTCTGAATCAGCCCTAAGCCACAGCTGAAATGAAAAGAGCTCCATGAACACGCTCTGCATTTTCCCTGACTTGGGCATAAGCCACAGGTTCAACTGTGTTCTCCATGCGGCAGCTTGTTTCTAAGGAGGCGTGAACCGGAGGCCCGATCCCGAGCTTGGAGAAATCGGGTTGTGATTAGCAACAACCATAGCGGGCCAGCTGCCCTCCTATTGGCTTTGGCCCTTCAGCCTTTCTAGCACCTGCTGGCTATCAGGTTTCCTACTCTCTGCCCAGAGCCACACCTCGAAGGACCGCCTGAGTTCCAGAGCAGAACCCCAAACTCACTTTTCTGCTAATAATAAAAATAATAAATTATCAAGAAAATGATTAAACCAGCTACCCCTTATTGAGTGCTTACCTTGCAGCTGGAGTTAGGCTAAGAATTTTACACATATATCTTGCCGAATCCCCTGGCAACCCCATGGGTTGGATCCTACTGTCTCCCTTTCTCCAAGGAGGACACCGAGGCCTGGAGGGGGTGGGTGAGCGGTCTCACAGCTGTGGGGGCAGAGCTGACAGCCACACCACCGGCTGCGGACAGCAGGGAGGTGACCGAATGGCGTCTGGCAGGCCTGAGGCTGAGCCACGCTCACCGGATTCCAACAAGGAAGGGCACTGGGTCTGAGGGAGTTCCGTGTGCCTAGGAGTAAGGCTTGACTCAAAGTAGGTACTTTAGCTGGAACTCAAAGGATAATTCTACATCAAGGAAGGGTCTTATCTCCAGGCTGTGAGGGCTCACGTTTTCCTTCATGGGAGCAATGGAAACTTCGGGGCAGGGGTGGCACAGATGAGCATTTGGGCAGCTACTCTGTGACCCCCAACCACGGCAGAAAAAATGAAGTCAGCACAGAACCTTTTCTGGCGAAGAGCAGCAGAAGAGGGCTCAGACACTTTCCGCCCAGCGTCTTGGGGCTGGCACGTGAGATGTGTTATCCTTAGAGTGGGGACTTCTCAGGGCCAGGGGGACTTGGAGACAAATCTGAGACAGCCCAAGGTCATGAGCTGAGCAGGTCTGAAGACAATGAGTCTTCTTGGTCACAAGTTATTGGGGAATCTCTGTGATATCTTAAAAAAAAAATCCAACTTAACAAATAATCCTAAAATTTATATGGAACCAGAAAAGACCTCGAATAGCCAAAGGAATATTGAAAAAGAAAGCCAAAGTTGGTGGCATCACAATTCCAGACTTCAAGCTCTATTCCAAAGTTGTCATCATCAAAACAGTATGGTACTGGCACAAAAACAGACACATAGATCATTGGAACAGAATAGAGAGCCCAGAAATAGACCCTCAACTCTATGTCAACTAATCTTCGACAAAGCAGGAAAGAATGTCCAATGGAAAAAAGACAGCCTCTTCAACAAATGGTGTTGGGAAAATTGGAAGTCACATGCAGAAAAATGAAATTGGACCATTTCCTTACACCACACACAAAAATAGACTCAAAATGGATGAAGGACCTCAATGTGAGAAAGGAATCCATCAAAATCCTTGAGGAGAACACAGGCAGCAACCTCTTCGGCCTCAGCCGCAGCAACTTCTTCCTAGGAACATTGCCAAAGGCAAGGGAAGCAAGGGCAAAAGTGAACTATTGGGACTTCATCAAAATCAAAAGCTTTTGCGCAGCAAAGGAAACAGCTAACAAAACCAAAAGACAGCTGACAGAACGGGAGAAGATATTTGCAAACGACATATCAGATAAAGGGCTAGTATCCAAAAATCTATAAAGAGCTTATTAAACTCAACACCCAAAGAACAAATAATCCAATCAAGAAATGGGCAGAGGACATGAACAGACATTTCTGCAAAGAAGACATCCAGATGGCCAACAGACACATGAAAAATTGCTCCACATCACTCGGCATCAGAGAAATACAAATCAAAACCACAATGAGATACCACCTCACACCAGTCAGAATGGCTAAAATTAACAAGTCAGGAAATGACAGATGCTGGCGAGGATGCGGAGAAAGGGGAACCCTCCACACTGTTGGTGGGAATGCAAGCTGGTGCAGCCACTCTGGAAAACAGCATGGAGGTTCCTCAAAAAGTTGAAAATAGAGCTACCCTATGACCCAGCAATTGCACTACTGGGTATTTACCCTAAAGATACAAAAGTAGTGATCCGAAGGGGCACGTGCACCTGAATGTTTATAGCAGCAATGTCCACTATAGCCAAACTATGGAAAGAACCTAGATGTCCATCAACAGATGAATGAATAAAGAAGATGTGGTATATATATACACAATAGAATACTATGCAGCCATCAAAAGAAATGAAATCTTGCCATTTGCGACAACGTGGATGGAAATAGAGGGTATTATGCTTAGCAAATAAATCAATCAGAGAAAGACAACTATCACATGATCTCCCTGATATGAGGAAGTAGAGATGCAACGTGGGGGGTTTGGGGTTAGGAAAAGAATAAATGAAACAAGATGGGATAGGGAGGGAGACAAACCATAAGAGACTCTTAATCTCACAAAACAAACTGAGGGTTGCCGGGGGTAGGGGGGTAGGGAGAGGGTGGTGGGGTTATGGACATTGGGGAGGGTATGTGCTATGGTGAGTGCTGTGAAGTGTGTAAACCTGGTGATTCACAGACCTGTACCCCTGGG